CGAATAGGAAGGATAACAGTCATAATAGCCAGAATGCTAAGAGCTCGAAAAACCTCCAAGTACGAAGCCAGGAAGCCAAGAAGGCAAGAAGTTAAAAAGCCAAGAACCCAGGGAGCCAAGAAATCGTGTTGTCGTTCTTTGTTTCTTTCTTTCCTCCTTTCCTTTGTTGCTTCTTTCTTTCTCTTTTCCTTCTTTCCTCGTTTTCATGTATTTCTTGTGTTCTTTATGTTTTCTTTCTTCACTTATTCTTGTTTTCTTTCCGTATGTTTTTCTTTCTTTCTTTCTTTCTTTCTTTCTTTCCTGCTCCGGCCTGGGGCTCGAATATTTTGTTTTGTTGATCCCTGCTCGGGAGGCCAGAAATGTTGTGTTTTACTATAAAATCAAGGATTTTGTTTGTTGTTTGATCCTTATTTGTTTTTGTTGATCCTTATTTGTTGTTTTTTTTGATCCTTGTTTTTTTTTGACCCCCCTCCCCCTGGCTGGTATGTATCCCCATTGAAACCAGAGACTTCTATGTAGATAACCTGTCTGCCCTGTTTAATACGGGAATTACTGCAGGGAATTACCCTCCCCAATTCAACACGGAAGCAACATGTACTCAACATGGACAACCGTTCATTCATTGAACAGCGATTTACGGTTTAGGGTTTACTCAGCCAACATTACCATAGGAAGAAAAAGGATCCTTTTAACATAAGTATATGGAATCACACACCCCAAAAAATTAGAGGATCCCTAAACCCTAATCCATAAACCCCAAACTGATCCAGTGTAGGCACGGTAGAACCCAACCCCCTCGGCCTGAGTTTCTACTGGAAGGTTGGTATGGATGACGCCAATGCCGCCCTCCTCAGACGCAATCTCTATACCCTAACCCGGATTAGGATAATTAACTACTACGAGAACGAGCAAACCCATGAGGAAGGGATTTCTACCTAACATGTGACATCTTATCCTCTTTCGGGTCTAGGGTTACTCTAGGTAAGCCTTAACTCCTCAACCAGCAACCCACAGATATCAAATTTGGAGCCTCCGGTCCCCCGCGAATACCGAGGCTTCGGCTCAACATGAAAGTTTCTCAAAATTAAGGGTACCTTGTTAGTGGTTAAATAGGGGTAATATGGGGATAACGGAAAAGAAAATGGAAACTACTATTTAGGGTTTAGGGTTTCACAAAATTAAGGGTACTTTTTTGGAGGTCTCCATAACAAGGATTGTAGTATACTCGGATCTATACTGGGGTCCCCCCCGTTTAGGGAAACTACCATATGTATACTGTGAGAAGCATTCGCGCGCGGCATCATAAGGGTTTCGGTTTTACTGTTGGGGTTTTGCTGTTCCTGGAATCGACATACGGACTTCCAAGCAACTGAGCCGTTTTTGGGGGGGTTCTCAATAGGGATTGTAGTCTTTGAAGGTATAGAAGGGAGACTCCTCTTTATGTACTGTAGGAACCTATCCAACTAAAATTAGGTTGTGGAGGCGTGTGTATACATGATATGGTAGTTTTTCTAGGCGTTACAAAGGCTGACATTGCTGTTCGTATTACTACTATTTCTACGGTTATGGTAACTATTATCTTTATTACTATCATTATTTGTAGTATTATCGCTACTATTCATATCTTTACGATTCATATTTCAAATGCTATTGCTACTGCTTGATATTCAGACTTCTAAGGTCGGCGCGGGAGAGCAGAAGTTCCCTACACTGAAGCCAAACTATAGCATGCAACTGCGCGCAGTCTCCTTAGTGTTTGGGGTTTAGGGTTTGCCCTAAACCCTAAACCTTAAACCCCCCCCCAAACCCTGAACCTTCAAAACGACAGCAGTCTATATCGAAGCTTATGTCTTACAAGTCAGGTTGGGGGAGGGCAATGCCCATGTCAACAACGCATGATCTGGTGTTGGCAGTCACCCCAAAGACCAATAACCCTCAATCAGGGCATCGACCCTATATGATACTAGGATGTTTAAAATGACTGAAGGTATATATATTCCCTAGCTAAGGGAATTTGAGCTTTCTGGGCGGTTTGGGCTGGCTTTCTGTGCAGTCAGAACGTACGGTGTCTGTACCTACTTTTCGTCGCTATCCTGGTTTGACTCACCCAACCTTAGTCTCCCCGTCATTCTGCTGGGACCTACAATGAGCCATAGTCTTAACTCCTAGTATCCCCCTTAGTAACCCCTGTAAACCTCCACTATATAGTCCCCTATATAACTCCCTTTCAGGAGTTTAGACTGCAGGTCATATGGGGATAATGGAAAAGAACATGGGAACCAATATAGTATATTGGGGTTATATCGGGGAAAATGGAAAAGAAAATGGAAACTACTATAGGATATTAGTGTTCTATGGGGATGTCCCTTCACCAACTTCACCGCCTGCTGTAACTTTGTGGCCAAACTATTCGCGGACTTTCTGGGAGATCCTTGATGCGAGGGGCTTGGCGGTTTAGGGTTAAGGTTTACCTTGGGCTTAGGGTTTAGGGTTCATGGGATTGAAGTTTACAGCGCCCATCTTCCACTCCCACTTCTCAAAATGAGGGTTCATTGTGGAGTCCCGATTGTTTGTCGATGGTTTCTTGCCCAGCTGCCTTGTGATAAGAACCACTAACCGTAGTTATTGGACTTATATGTATAGGTATGTAACTATCTCTATAAACCCTAATCCCTGACCCTAAACCCTAAACCCTGTAGAGCTAGGACTCCAAAGCCATGGCAATGGCCATGTTCGACTCTGTGACAGTGTCCATGGGGCTGGAAACAATGGGCGTCTTCAGCGCAATCCTAGGGTTTAGGGATAAGGGCTTAGCGATTGTTACCATTACTTGGGGTTTGGGGGGCAATTTGAGTTTGCAATTTTGAAGTTTTGGAGATTCAGGATATTTGAGAACCCTAAGCAATGGTAAGTTTATATGGGCTTGAGAGTTTAGCGATTTGGGTTTAGCACCTTCAGCGCAGCCCCCCAGGCTTTTGGGACTGAGATTTCAGAAGGGTTTGAGGCTAATGGTTTTTTTCAAAGACTTTATTTGTTTTGTGGCACGGGGAAGGTTCAGCAAAATCCTCCGGGCTGTGTGAAGCTTCCCACGAAGCTGCCCTGCAATCCCCATTTGAAGTGTGGTACGGCTTAGGAGTAATAGCATGCTACCCCAAAAGCAGCGACAAAGTTTGAGCCTCTCTGGGTTGGGACAATGAGTGTTTGGGGTCTTCCGAAAAAGTAATAGGTCAAAACCAGAGACCTGAAAACCCAAACCACCGCCCCGCGATGCTTCACCACGTCCTACTTGGAGGGTCAGGGAGTCGTACTAAGTGGGTTGATAGCCCCTACCACCCATATAGTAGCCCTAGTTATTTTAACTTTTCACCTAGTTACTAAGTCCCTATGACCCTCCAAGTAGAGGGCCCAAACACTAAAATCTGAACAGTTCCTGGGCCAGAGAAGACTATTCTTTGGGTACCTGGACCCTCTAGGTGTGGAGTTTCTGAAGCCGGGGTGATCCTAGTGAAATTACAGTCTTCCTACTTGGGTATGGTATGAGAACCCTCAACCCTAAAAGTTGAGGATCATGCAAAGAAAATCAAATGTCTTCCCACACCATGAATCACAGCGCGGGACGTGAAAGATGAATCCTCCGGTTCCAACGTGACAGCTCAGAAACTCTACTACCCGTCCTAGTACATATATGTCAGATTATACACATACGCACACATATGTATATATATATATAGATACACACATACGCATGTGTATGTATGTATGTATATATATATACACATACCCACGAAATGAACGGGATAAAGCAGCATGTACCAGTCGTTCAAACTGCCATGGACCTTCAGTATATTGCTTTGGCACGCTGTAGCAGCATAACTCCCGCGTGCTAGGTATGTGATGTCATGCAATATTTCCTGCACCAACCGTCTTCCGCTGCACGCAACACGATGTTCCAAAAAAAAACATCGCTTGATTAGGTTCATTAAGTTACACAGCAGCAGAAGATTAAAAAAAATGGATAGGAGAACATACCCTATCATAAGCTAAAGCCCAGAGTCTTCTTCGAGAAACGAGAGCCAAGTGCCACATCGTGCACGCCAAAGTTGATGTGTCCAGGGAGGCAGATCAGATCATCATACGTGTAACCACCTGAGCCACGGTCATCTTCGTGGTGCAGTTGGTGGGAGTATTCCCTAGAATGGTTTAGGGTTTTGGGCTTAAGGATTCGAAGCACAGTTACCTGTATGTTGGGGTATCGGTCCCCAGCCTCCATGTGATAGAGCGTTGCAAAGATGATATCTTTTGGATCCCTACTATATTACGCACAAAAAAAAGGTACCCCGAAAAGTGAACCTTGACAACTCGCTGTATTAGCTTCAGGTCAGGACCCAATACTATTTCCCTCATCATCCCCACACACGTTTCCATTGCATCCTCCATGTTTGTTCCATGTGGTTGTAAAATGCGCACCTCATCACAGGTGGGGTTCTTTTCAGGGCACCATGGCTTCGCCCCGAATCCAAAACCCTAAGCCCCAAACCGCTCTCTCTTTCCCCCGCTTACTTGGAAGCCGTCAGTTCATAGCCCACAAGTAGTCCCTACTTATTGGATACAAGGCATGGGGGCAGTAAGTGTCTTCAACGCGTCTAAGAACTGCAGTTTAGGGTTTTAGTTTAGAGTTAGAGGGTTGTTATAGGGATCCTGCGCATACTTCCAGAGTCTAGGTGTGGTCCAACAACACATAAACAAAGGAAAGCAAGAATGAACAGGATTCTGCATGCTAAGCCTTAATTATTAATCATCAAACTGACACAGACATACTGCTCAAGGACAAAGATCCTGCATGACCCTGAGCAGGCTAGACCGTCGTAATGCTTGGTTTAGGTTGACCACGCCATGCAAAAATTCGCCCAACAACCATACCAAATAATAGTTCCCAGCAGCTCATGGTGGTCTTCGAACCGAAAATCTCTGCCGCAGAGAACCTTGTGGGAGCCGGGTGAAGACGACATGGCGAGGGTTAGAACTCTAAGGTTCAGGAACTAGGGTGTTCACTACAGTCCTATTTGCCTACATATCGATTTTTTCTCCCTTGGATCTCAAGTATCATCTACAACCCAGGAACTTACTATATCATATTGTAGTTTCCCTAAATAGGGGGGGACCCCAATATAGATCCCAAATTGCTATAGTCCTTTTTATAGGGACCCCTTAAAAGGTACCCCTAATTTTGGGAAACACCCTAAACCCTACAGCCTAAACCCTATATGTCCCCTATAATCCCCTAAAGGGACCCCTAATTTTGGGAAACCCCATTTTTATCTAGCAACTGGGCGTATAGAGGTTGGAGGAACTTCATGGCTAGGAATTAGGGCCTATGCATTTTGGAGGAACCTCCCTAGCAGTCTCCAGGGTTTAGGGTTTAGGGTCTTAGGGGGGCTATATTGGGGTTATATAGGGATAATGGATTTACGTAGGGTTTTAGGGTTTAGGGGGCTGTGTCTTTAAGTAATGTACAGGGGGCCCCTTCCAGCGGGTTTCCCAAGATTTCCCTGGGAGCCCCCATATATGGAGTCCTGAATGTCCTGAGAAAGTTCATTAAAAACCAAACATGACATGCATGAGGTGTTGACCCCGTGGTTCGCAAATCCAGCATGTGCAGACATAGGTTTGCGCAAGGCTGGTGCTAACCATTTGGGGCTTTGTCTGAGATGCGGGGTTTCACTGGACGATTCCTAGAGCTTTGGAGTCGTGGTCTTGGTCGTCTGCGCTAGTGGAAGCTTGGCAAGCACTCCATTTCTAATCCATCAGACAATGTTCAGCCAGATACTGATTTGCCCAGCTTTCAGAGCAGGTTGGGCGCAAAAGACATCATAATTCGCCGAGGCTATCCAGCCTCAGGGCATCCAGAACCCTTTAAAAACCAGCCCTACCACCCCTTTTGCAGACCTGTTCGCTCGTGGCGACCCCTCTCCCCTCCCATGGTGGGTGGCCTAGTCCAGCCTGACCATCCCGCGTGAAGTTCTAGCTTCGCCCCAGGTTTGAAGCTGTCGCAGTACGCGGCAGCAAGCATTTTTCGTCCATTCCTCTCTCATGTTTTTGGCAGCTTGTGCTTAACAAACCCAACCCATTCTTCCTTTTCCTGACATCAGCAGCCAAGTGTAGATCCCCTCAGGAAGAGCTCACCAAGGGCTGGGAAAGAACACCAATCAGTACCCCACATAATTTCAGAGCACAGGCGTTAAAAGCATTGAAAGGAACATCCCGGACAACGCTGAGATTACCTGAAAACCTTTTCCGAGGGGACTGCAACACCGCTCCAAGTCCAGGCGCGCTCCCAAACTGCTCCAAGAGCACTCTTACAGTGGGGGTCTGAGGACCCAAACAATGGTGCTGAAAGTGGTTTAAGGTCCAAGTAACCCAATTAATTATGGAGCCTAAAGCACCAGAAACCGTTCAGATTCAGCAGCCTTTTAGCAGTTGGGCCCTAAAACCCTAAACCCTAAACCCTGAACCGGCCCTTAACCCTAAACCCCTAAAGTAGTTGGCTCCTTGCACCAGCGAGGCCTCTAGGGTGGAGCAAGAACTCCAATTCCAAGACTGTATTGCGCGACAAGGGTGGTCCCCTTACAGGAGGTTACAGGGGATATATGTAAGGTTGTTATGGGGATATATAATATAGGATTTAGTGTGTCCTTAAAGTATAGAGGTCCCAGAGCACTGAAACCGTCCCACCCTAAGCAACGGCACTCCGCACAACAGCAACCGTGAGAAATCGCGGACCACTTCGTACCCGATAGTCTTATCACGGCGCGCTCGGGCAAAAAACGCAATTATCCACCTGAATCTTTTTGAAACTTGAGAATTACGAGCCCTCAAGCCCTGAACCGCCCTGTAACCAACTTGCGTCTAGTGGTCCTATGGCAAACATCTTTGCGAGAAAGTGGTGCCAGACTTCTTGTGTTCTACTACGCAGCGATGATGTTACGGAAGTGCTCAGTCAATGGGGCTCAAATTTCCTGTTCACTTTGCCCTAAGGGTCTAAGTACCTAATATGTACTTGCCCCAAAACCTGTACCATAATCACTATTACTCTAAACCCAGGAACCTAACTGTTGGGTACTTGGACCCTCTGGGTATGGAGGCCCTAAACCCTCAACTAGAACAGCTTCAATTCCCAATTTAAGGCCATTTTGGTACTACTCCCTATATAAACAACTATTTAGGGTGAGGGCGGGTGAGGTCGCTTTAAATTGCCCGACTACACCCTAAACCCTAAACGCTAAACCCTAAACCTTAACCCTAAACTAGGGCGAGCCCAGGAACCCATCGTTCAGGTCGGCGTCCGTGAGCTTCGAGGGGTCCTGCTCAGTTCAAGTTGGGGAAATCCAAGACCTATACAAACCCTAGAGATCCAAATAGCCTAGCGCGGGTAATCTCAACAGACTTTAGGGCCCAATGTAGGTATTATTCCTAAATTTGGACCCCAAGAGGAGCCTTTACAACAAGTGGGATGTAAGAGGTCAAGACATGAGCTGTCGTCTGAACTTCTGTATCCCCAGTGAAAATCTTCATGATACTCATTTATAACCCTGCTTTAATAGGAACCCAAACCCTAAACCCCAAACTGCAAACCCTAAACCCTAAACCCTACGCCCTAAACCCTAAACTTGACTCTAGCTCACATGAGAGCTCGTAGTGGTTCTGCGTCCTGGGCTGTATGGCCTGAGGTCTGCGGGGTGGGACTAGAGTTTAAGGCTTACCCTCAGACGGCCGTTTATCATATGGTCTTTGGGACCAAAAGCTTCCAATATGAGTCCTTAGAGCATTAAGGTTACCCTGGGGATCCAAATATCCCAATGTAGATAATATTTACAGACTTTAGCACCCCATGTAGGTATTTTGTATACTTGGATGCCTAAGGTTAGGGTTTGTGTTTCAACTGACGGTTTTCGCTTGCGTCTTGCCAGCTCCAGGCCGATACTGGGCTTCAGTGGGTTGTATGGATTTGAGACTAGCCCTGTATTCCCCAAGCACTAGACCCCTCCCGTTATGATAAAAAGCCTTAAAACCTTACACCCTAAACCCCTAAACCACCCCCGCATTCTTCGGAGCACCCCGAAAATCAGTGCAGAATGGTTCAGACGCAACCCACTCCGAGGACATTTATCTTGCAAAGACTACCCCTAAGGCTCCAAGTAGGTACTATTTGCGGGGTTTAGGGCATCATGTCAGTATTATTTATAGGGTTTAGGGCTCCATGTAGGTACTTTTTGTGGGGTTTGGGGCCCAATGTAGGTATTATCTATAGACTTAGAGCCCCAGGGTACTGTCAGGACTGCAGGATTCGTCTACAAGGGTTTATGGCTTAGGCTTTCTTACAGTGAATCCGGACATGTTTCCTGAGCAGCAAGTTTCGATCGCGGCCAGCATTTCAAGCAAACTGCACGGTTCAGGCCGTGTAGGCTCTAGATCCTGAGCCCTGACGGAGAACGATACCCCAAAGAAAATCTTGGAAGCTAGCCAGGGAGTCCTGCACATACCATGCGTAAAAGTACTCTCATCATTCATGCAAAAAACTGTGAGCCATCTACTGGGTTGCTGTTAAGGAACTCAAATTAAGTTAGTATATTGGGGAAACCCTATTATTTACTACATATACCCGTTATGGTAACTTAATCTAAGTTCCTTAACAGCAACCCAGTCTAAAGCGCTCAACAAATTTCTTGGCTTGGGAGTGCCCCATCTCCATTTCCTGGGTTGCTTGGTAGTTTCCCAAAATAAGGGACCCCAATATAGACCCCCAAATACTATAATCCTTATTATAGGGACCCCAGAAAGGTACCCCTTGTTTTGGGACACCCCCACATAACTTAAGTAACTTAAGTTAAGTTCCTTAGCAACAGCCCACTTTACCAAAGCACGTTGGACATTAAAATGGACCCCAGCTTCCTTGGCTGCATCTTAAGTATCCTCTCAAAGGTTTAGGTTTTTCTGGGGGAGGGTTTAGCGCGATGCAGCCCCTTTCAAGAAGACAGGGAGCTTTATAAAGCGCTTCTTGGGGCCTCCTTTAGTTTGCGGAAGTTCAGAAATAAGGCACGCGGCGCCGGGAAATCTTGATCATATCGAGCCATGCCTTAAAGATGTATATATATATATACACATGCGAATGTATGTATGTATGTATGTATGTATATATATATATATGTACTCATACATATATATATATATGTATATGGCAACCCCCCTATAACCCTGCTTTATGGATTTCAG